ATTTCTCTCGATAAAACTAGTTCAAATTTTACGTTTTTTTCATATAAAAAAAGAAGTATTTAATTTTTGCATGGCATCATGACTGAGTAAGAGAAATTATTGGTATAACCGGTGTATAACATCGCGAAGTAAGTTATGTCACGTTGTAACTTTGATGATTGTTTGGAAGTGTTATTTCTTCGTTCATTTACTGTAAATGTAAACGTTGTAGAAGCTGATGGTCGGAATAATAACCAGCAATCCGCCAAATAATTATGTGGTCATGAAAGTCTTGAACATAATCCTGGCTGAAACGTTTCAGTTGAGTTTCATTTAACCTTTTACAATTTATTTGTTTCTTTTTAGTCTGCAGCATTTGCATATCGAGAATGTTTCATTTTTAAATTCAAACTCTTCTAAGTTGTGAAACGTAATTTTTTGACTCAAAAAAAAAAAAAATTGCACTGTGACGGAGCTCATTAATATTACAAAAATGCCCAAAATAAAAGTGTTTATAACACTGTGTAAAGCAAATAAATATCTGCCACATTGTTTTTGAAAATATATGTTGTTTATTGTGTGGGTGTAAATATGCTTTGGTCAATTTCTATTATTATGTAAATGATATGCAAATTAGGCCGCCACAGTGGTTTAAATTCCTGGGGAGAACACTGCAGTGTGTGAGGGCTGTGTAATTTCCTGTTTGTCCGACGCTTCGTTTTCGTGTCACTGTCAAAATTATTGCTACCTTTTACTTAACAGGGACTAAATGGTCTCTATAAAACGATAATCAGGATCGCAAAAAAGTTAACTGATTTGAAACACTTGCCGGACGTCTCTCTCTCTCTTCTGAAATCCGCCTCGGTGATCATGGGCTGGTCGGGAATCTATTTCTTTCAAAAGTGTTGCGCCAGGTTTACGTTGTCGGCGTTTCTCTTTAAACCTAGTCGTTTTTTTTTTTTGGACAAGGACAGTTGAATGAATCTAAGGTTATGGCTATACGTTTCATTATGGCTATACGTTTCACTGCAACTGCCCACAACACAACATCTAAAACCTCTCTCAGAAAAAATAATAAAATAGACAAAAAAAAAAAAAAAAAAACGCCGACTGAAAAATGTATATCGTTTAAAAGTATACTGAACGACCAGTGTTATTACGGCTCAGGGGTATGACTTCCTCTCACATTTTGTCATTTGGTGGCGCACTTTCGGCGAGAATCGGTTATCCGGAAATAGTCGACCGTTTCACGATAGGTGGGCGTGGCTACAACACAAGAAATATCCCAAATTTACTTAGATACCAGTAATCATTTTCAGCAAAAAAATCAATAACTACCCTTTTCAGTGGGACACAGATCTAAAATGGGAAACGTGAGGGTGGGCATTGCACAGGCACTTTAAGTGCATTTTGTAAATATTCTCTATGCTTCGATTGGTTTAAATATGCATCAGAAAAGACCAGACTTTTCCACTAGAGCAAAGTATGTAAAATAAAAAGCACTGACTTATTAGGGATTTCAATACAGTACAATGGACATTATATAACAATAACATTATAGATGGCACAAAGTTCATTTACACACCTACATAAGTCAGTGTACTGCACAAGAGGAAATCAGAGCATTCACAACAATTAATAAAACAATTGAATGATATATGGAACTCAAAGGTTAAAACCAAGAAGTGATATCTGGTGTTTGCAAATCCTGCCTTACCAGTAACACTACATCAATCTAAGTAGTCAATTCATGAAGGGATCTTCTACATAGGACAAATGAGAACACCCCCCCCCCCACCCACCCCCCCCATTGAGTAAACCACTCGCTCTTTTGCTCATTGAAAACAAATATTTACATACATAAAAACTAATTAAGGTAGAAGCCTGGTCATAAATCCCATGACAATGTTTATTGGTGCAACCTTGGAGCTATTGTCTCATAGCACTATGAAATTCTATTCATTTGTATCTTACAGTGACATATTGTGAGAAACATTTTTCAAAAATCGCTATTTTGAAAACCAAGATTTTTGAGAAATAATTCAAAACAATAAAAGGTACCCTATCAATCACGATATATGATTTTTTCAGCCTATATCACCAGCCTACAATTTAACATATGACATAATATCTATGCCGTAGTAAGCATTATATTATTGCCAAAATCTATCTATAAAATGCAACCAACATTTTCTTGAAAAGTAGGCTGGTGACCCCAACTCAAATAAATATCCTTACATTGCCCTGGAGTAAATTTATCGTGAAATAAATAAAATTTGACTAAAATGGGTTTGGTCATATAAAATTTAATCTGTTCTCAAGTCACTATGGAATGTTTTTTTGTTTTAAAATGCTCAAATGGCGGGTCTGTATGTTACATAATTACAAACAATACATTGTATGACAATCTTACTCTCATAATGGCCTTCATGACAAACCTTACCCGGTCAGGCACAATTACCTACTAACAAATTAAGATTTTCCTCAAATTAGCATTCAGAAATAATAATATCTTGAATATTGTCTTTGTTTCAGGTGGTGCTTTATTTACAAACAGGACTGTTACTTATCCACAGAAAACAAAGTTCATCAGGATGAACCGTTCTGGCGGGAGACTAACACCAACACAAAAATATGCCACAAGACGTGAATCTCCGATACTTCTTCCTCATGCAGAATCAGATACATCATTGAATCGTAGAGGAATCCTCTCTCCTCATTCAGCAGATAATGTGAAAGGTACAACAATGTTTGTATTTTACTTATTATGTGTTACACTGATGTTTCTGAATCACTCTCTGATAAGTCTTTGCTGTCAACCACTTTTGTATATGCTTAATGAAAAGATATCACAAACTAATGCTATTGTGTTTATTCATGTAGATGGTAAAGCTCCCAGAAATTTAGTAAGATACATCACAGAAACACTTATCAAGAAATTAGCTAAGGAGGAGTCTCTGGATCAGATCTTATCATTGAATCTCACATTGTCTAAAGAAGGTGGTAAGAAAATCAAGGTGAGAACCACAAATCAGACATTATATACACATCCACTATTATGAGGATGTTCTCAACCAAAAACTGACATCACACTATTCAAAAGTGGTATTCATTTGGTGGCAAATTTATGAATCAATCATTTCTGCCATTCCGGAACCGGATTTTGTTCAAACTTGTTCAAACAACATAACTGTTGTAAACTGCTTTAATTTCTCAAAAGACGAACTTTCATAAATTTTGTGTAACAGTGAAATTTTGTGGAAGTGAAAATTTCTCTGGGGTCATACAACATGGAGTGTCAAATTTCTAGCAGTGAAAATTAATGGTATATTTTTAACCAGTTTATGATCTCAGCCAAGTCCATTTTAACATGATATTGGTAAAAATGTAAATTTGCACTGCTGATCACATCCATTTGTTTCACGATCTGATTTAAGATGGCAAAGCCTTTTTAGCTGCTCTGTCGACTTTGTCGAGCGGAGCTTATCATATGAGTCATCGTTTGTCATCGTTTGTCGTTCGTGTCTGTGTTTTACTTTTCCGACTTCTTCTTGAAAACTATAAGCATGAATGCTTTGATACTTGGTGTATATGTACCTTGGGTAGATCTCTCTTAGGTTTGTTCATTTCATGTTGATATCTTCAATTCTCTAATTTTGATGAATATTTTTGTCATTTTTGGTAAAAAGTGGTATTTTTTAATTCTTGTTGAAAACGGCAAGTCTGATTGCTTTGATACTATACATATTGTATTAATTGTCTAATGATATCTTCAGTTCTTTAATTGAAATGTGCATTGCTAACAGCGGAGCTATCTCAGCCGACAGGCTACTTGTTTACTATTTAATTAACAGGGACTATCAAATGTTGACTGTTTGCCATTCAATAATAAGTACAAAAATAAAATAAAAGCCTTGTCACCGAATCTCACAATAAAATTGTAAAAACCGGATCACACATAAATAAAAAAATTGAACAGCACAGAGACCTGGGAGTGGGGACCCAGAGAAGAGACTCATTTGCATTCTGCACCATTGTGACTCTAGTAATGTGTACATATATCCCTATTCTAAATTTCAGTATATTGAAAATCTTGAATTACTTCGGCGTTTACAAGTCTTGAGTCTAAGTTGCAACATCATCGAAAAGATTGAAAAACTTGACAAACTCACCAAGTTAAGGGAGCTGAATTTGAGTTTCAACTGTATCACAAAAATAGAAGGATTGGAGAATCTTGTACATTTACAAGTACTCAATTTAACTGGTAACCAAATTGAACATATCCCTACATGGCTGGCAAAGAAACTCAAGGAATTGCAGACCTTCAGAATTGCTAAAAATAAACTGGCAACTGTAAGTATTGTATATATCTCAGTATTGCATTTCTCTCCATATCCCAACCTGTATATATAAATCAGCATTGCATTTCTCTCCATATACTATCCTGTATATATATCTCAGCATTGCATTTCTCCCTATATCCCATCCTGTATATATATCTCAGCATTGCATTTCTCTCCATGTCCCATCCTGTATATATATCTCAGTATTGCGTTTGTATATATATCCCATCCTGTATATATATCTCAGCATTGCATTTCTCCCTATATTCCATCCTGTATATATATCTCAGCATTGCATTTCTCTCCATGTCCCATCCTGTATATATATCTCAGTATTGCGTTTGTATATATATCCCATCCTGTATATATATCTCAGCATTGCATTTCTCTCCATATTCCATCCTGTATATATATCTCAGCATTGCATTTCTCTCTATATCCCATCCTGTATATATATCTCAGCATTGCATTTCTCCCTATATCCCATCCTGTATATATATCTCAGCATTGCATTTCTCTCTATATCCCATCCTGTATATATATCTCAGCATTGCATTTCTCCCTATATCCCATCCTGTATATATATCTCAGCATTGCATTTCTCTCTATATCCCATCCTGTATATATATCTCAGCATTGCATTTCTCTCTATATCCCATCCTGTATATATATCTCAGCATTGCATTTCTCCCTATATCCCATCCTGTATATATATCTTAGCATTGCATTTCTCTCTATATCCCATCCTGTATATATATCTCAGCATTGCATTTCTTTCTATATTCCATTCTGTATATACCGTACTCGACCGCGTTAGCGCCCAGGGGCCTCAACTCAGAAAATCACGATTTTGTAGGGGTGGGCGCTTACCCGAGCACCCCCCTCGAAAAAGAGTGCAAATGAAAATTTTGATTCATCAAGTGACAGATTACGTCTTTGAGGGAAAATCAAATTAGTAAATTAGTTGCGTCGTCATTGATTTTCACAATGAAGAAACAGAAATGATCACAAAAAATACGCACATTTTATTACAATATTAATTACGTACCTCCATAATTTACGGAATTAAAAACATTTGAGTCTGTTGGAACAGAGTCAAAGTCAAAATTGTCGTATTATTTCCACTGACGTAGTTGTTGGGTCGTACGCAAACTCTCGATGAAAATCACTTTCTGCCATGATGCAATTGCAGATTTGACCTACAGCAGCATCCTTTGACCTAATGGGTCAAGTTGGTTATTAACTAATCAGAAAGCTGTGTTGTACTGACGCAATTCTTTGGAACATTCCCGAAGACTTTCCGGTAACGCAATGCGGAAGTGAATAATCGATGTCGAAGTACGATCTGTTGGAATTGATTTCAGCGAATAAACGACATGGTTTTTCAAAAAACTAGTATCTAGCCATTTTTGAGTAGTGAACTTTATATGGCATGAAATATTTATTGCATTTTACTTGTATTAACAGGTCATTGTCGAAGCATAGTTTACGCACGGTTACCGTGTCTGATGAAC